GGAGACCCCTCATGAGCAATGTCATCGTGTGGTCTCCAGACAGCTCCCTTAGTCAGTATGAGATGATTTTCTTATTATGAAATCAATATTGGCCAGGCGCGGTGGCTCACACCTGTAATCCCAGCACTTTTGGGGTCTGAAGCAGATGGATCACCTGAGATCAGGAGTTCGAGACTAGCCTGGCCAATATGGTGAAACCCCATCTCTACAAAAGTAACAAAAATTAGCTGGGCATGATGGCGGATGCCTGTAATCCCAGCTGCTTAGGAGGCTGAGGTGGAAGAATCACTTGAACCTGGGAGACGGAGGTTGCAGTGAACTGAGATTGTGCCATTGAACACCAGCCTGGGTGAGAGAGAGTGAGACTCCGTCTTGGGGGGGAAAAAAAAAGAAAGAAAAAAAGAAATCAATATTAAGACTGTAAGGGGCCTACGTTAAGTGTTCTTAACTTCTGTTTTCCTTCTAAGTTGTTTATCTAGCTTGTACTTAGACACCTTAATAGATATATAAATATTTCTTTAGGTAGGATGCGTAGCATAGAATTTTTGTTGTTGTTGTTTTTGAGACAGGGTCTCCCTGTCACCCAGACTGGAATGCAGTGGCGCGATCTCAGCCCACTGCAACCTCTGCCTCCCAGATTCAGGATTCTCCCGCTTCAGCCTCCCAAAGTGCTGGCAGTAGCGTGCACCACTACCACCTGGCTAATTTTTATATTTTTATTTTAATTTTTGAGGTAGAGTCTCACTCTTGTTGCCCAGGCTGGAGTGCAGTAGAGTGATGCAATCTTGGCTCACCTTAACCTCCGCCTCCTGGGTTCAAGCGATTATCCTGCCGCAGCCTCCCGAGTAGCTGGGATTACAGGCATGTATCATCACACCCGGCTAATTTTGTTTTTCACTAGAGATGGGATTTCACCGTGTTGGTCAGGCTTATCTTGAACTCCTGACCTCAGGTGATCCACCCGCCTCAGCCTCCCAAAGTGCTGGAATTACAAGCGTGAGCCACTGCACCCTGCCTAATTTTTGTATTTTTAGTAGAGACAGGGTTTCACCGTGTTGGCCAGGCTGGTCTTGAACTCCTGACCTGAAATGATCTATCTGCCTCGGCCTCCCAAAATGTTGGGGATTACCACCAACACTGTGCCCGGCCAGGATGTTTCTTTCTTTTTTTTTTTTTTTAACAGAGTCTCGCTCTGTCAGCCAGGTCTTATATTAAAACTTAAATGTCTTTTTGTCGCTTTTGCCCTCAATTTTTTTTTTTTTTCTGTATAGAATACTAGTGCTTTCACTTAACAGTGGTTTCAGGGTACACTTTTGCTGAACAGTAAATCTTTTTTTTGAGACAGAGTCTCACTCTGTCGCCCAGGTTGGAGTGCAGTGGCGTGATCTCCGCTCACTGTAAGCTCCGCCGCCTCCCAGGTTCACGCCATTCTCCTGCCTTAGCCTCCCTAGAAGCTGGGACTACAGGCGCCCGCCACCACACTTGGCTAATTTTTTTTGTATTTTTAGTAGAGACGGGGTTTCACCGTATTAGCCAGGATGGTCTCGATCTCCTGACCTTGTGATCCGCCTGCCTTGGCCTCCCAAAGTGCTGGGATTACAGGCGAGATAGTGTTTTTATAGTAACTGTAAATGTGTAGATATGATAAATTAATGATTTTTCAAAATAGTATGATCCTTTATAAATAGAATCTATGTATTTACAGTCACATATATGGCCTAGAATTTCCTATCAGTTTGCACAAATAATTTTATGAAAATACATGATAGGCAGCAAAAATTGAGGCAGGATACTTGTTTGTTCAGGAGAGTCTATTTTTAAGTTTGTGAAGTTCCTATTTAGAAGATGTGTTTGGCTTTGTTGATTACTTACAGCAGTAGCTTGGGTCCCTAAGGCTCTAAGGAGAAAGCCTGGAGTCCTTGTCACGGTACCTGGGAATCTCTGGGATTTTTTTGGCAAGAGGAATGTGAGTACAGCCTCAAAATAAAAGGGTGCCAAGATTGACATGAAATGAAGGAAAAGAGAAAATAGACGATGTTTAAGAATGGACACAATATTTTGAAGCTAGTAAATGTATGCTACTGACTCCTATTTACATAAAATATATTCGTGTTAGGCATATAGTTGGAGGTACGTTTGACAAATGTATATACTTAGACAACTGCCATTGAAATCAAGATAAAGAATGTTTCCATCATATCACAAAATTCCCTCATTACTTTTTACTGTTAGTCTCCACCCTAGGCAACTACTGATCTGCTTCCTATCACTATAGATAGATTTTGACTGTTCCAGAATTACGTATCAATGGAATTAGACTCTTCATTCTTTTGTGTCGTAACAAAAGTACATATTTTCAGTAGTTGGCTTGTTTTCTTTAATTTCTGAGTAGTTTGCCATTATATAAATACATCTTTCTCTTTACTTGTTGATAGACATTTAGGTTATATTCAGTTTTTGGCTATTATAAATAAAGCGCTGCGAATATTTATGTTCAGTTATTTGTGTGGATATATGTTTTATGTTTTCTTTTTTCTTGAGTAGAATTGCTGGGTCATAAGGTTTTTTTGTTTGTTTTTAGAGGGAGTCTTCCTCGGCCTCCCAAAGTGCTGGGATTACAGGCATGAACCAACTCGCCTGGCCTTGTTTTTGTTTTGAAATGGGAGTCTTGTTCTTTTTCCCAGGCTGGAGTGCAGTGTTGCGATCTCAGCTTACTGCAGCCTCCTCCTCCTGGGTTCAAGCAATTCTCTTGCCTTAGCCACCCAAATCGCTGAGATTACAGGCACCTGCCACCACACCTGGCTAATTTTTGTATGTTTAGTAGAGATGGAGTTTCACCATGCTGGCCAGGCTGGTCTTGAACTCCTGACCTTCAGTGATCTGCCTGTCTCGGCCTCCCAAAGCGCTGGGATTATAGGCATGAGCCACTGTGCCCAGCCCGGTTTTTATATGTTTGACTTTGTAAGAAAGTGCTAAACAGTTTTCCAAAGTGATGTTGCCATTTTGCATTTCCATCAGCAGTGTGTGAGTTCCAGGTACTCAACATCCTACTAATATTTGGAGATGTTATTCTAGCAAAGGGTATGTAATAATACATTATTCTAGTTCTAATTCACATTTCTCTGTTGACTAATGATGTTATGTAGGTTTCCATATGCTTGTTTGTCACCTGTATATCTTCTTTGTGAAGTATTTTTTCACATTGTTGACTGTCTTTGAATGATTGTCTTATTATTGATTTGTAAGAGGTTTTAAAAAAGATGTTCTGAACAGAAGTTCTCTGTCAGACCATATGTATTGCGAATATTTTCTCCCAGACTGTGGCTTCCTTTTTTTTTTTTTTTTTTTTTAAACTATTTCTCAGTGGGTGGAAGTTTTAAATTTTTAAGAAGCCCTTTTAATGAAAAAATTTTTTTCTTTTATAGTTTTTGCTTTTGTTTCTTAAGATAGCATTGACTACCAAGACCATGACAGTTTTCTTCTAGATGTTTCCAGTTATAGTTTTACATGTAAGTCTGTATTGCAATTCAAGTTAATTTTTCTTCATGATAGAGGTAAGGGTTAAGGGTAATATTTTTCACATGGATATCAAATTTTTAGCATCACTTTTTGAAAAAACTATCCATTCTTCATTGAATTACCTTGGTCTATATATGTTGAGACCTATTTATATATTCTTAGGTCTTCCATTTCAATGATCTGTCTATATTTTTATGCCACTGTTTGATTATTGTAGCTTTATGGTACGTGTGCTAAGCAAGGTCCATTTGTGAGGCAGAATCCATACAGTAATTTGTAGAATGAAATTTTAGTATAAAGAATTAGCTGTTGAGTCACCGCCATTTAGCCTTGGTGCCATGTGCATTTTGGATACCCAGCCCACCTTGCTCTCTAGTACTTATGTAAGCCTTTTCCTTTCAAGATGCCTGAGGAGGTGTACCATGGAGAAGGGGAGGTGGAGACTTTTGCCTTTTAGGCAGAAATTGCACAACTCATGTCTCTTGTAATCAATACCTTCTATTCCAACAAGGAGATTTTCCTTCAGGAGTTGATCTCTAATGCTTCTGATGGCTTAGACAAGATTCGCTATGAGAGCCTGACAGACCCTTCCACAGTGGATGGTGGTAAAGAACTGAAAATTGACATCATCCCCAACCCTCAGGATTGCATTCTGACTTTGGTTGACACAGGCATTGGCATGACCAAGGCTGATCTCATAAATAGTTTGGGAACCATTGCTAAGTCTGGTACTAAAGCCTTTATGGAAGCTTCTCAGTCTAGTGCAGAAATCTTCATGATTGGGCAATTTGGTGTTGGCTTTTATTCTGCCTACCTGGTGGCAGAGAAAGTAGCCATCACAAAGCACAATGACGAAGAACAGTATTCCTAGGCATCTTCTGCTGGGAGTTCCTTCATTTACTTATTGACCATGGTGAGCTCATTGGCAGGGATACCAAAGTGATCCCTCACCTTAAAGAAGGTCAGACAGAGTACTTAGAAGAGAGGTGGGTCAAAGAAGTAGTGAAGAAGCACTCTCAGTTTATAGGCTGTCTCATCGCCCTTTTTTTGGAGAAGGAACCCGAGAAGGAAATCAGTGATGATGAGGAAGAGAAAGGTGAGAAAGAAGAGGAAGATAAAGATGACAAAGAAAAGCCCAAGATTGAATCCTGAGCTCAGGAGTTCAAGACCAGCCTGGTCAACATGGTGAAACCTCATCTCTACTAAAAATACAAAAATTAGCTGGGCTTGGTGGCACTTGGGAGGCTGAGGCGGGAGAATTGCTTGAACCTGGGAGGCGGAGGTTGCAGTGAGCCAAGATCACCCCACTGCACTGCAGCCTGGGTGACAGAGCAAGACTCTGTCTCAAAAAAAAAAAAAAAAAAAAAAAAAA